GGGTAGTTTCAAATTTCTAAAAAAGTCAAAGGCCATTTTGGAAAAGGTTATTTACTATTTGGGCCATTTTCATGTATATCCCTGATTTTTAGTAGTTCACACATAATTTCTCGTGATGGTTTATATCTACTTCTGTATTAAGGGCCTGTTTGATAGTAATTATGAGAATTAAATTTTTTATCGTTAGAAAGAAAAGTGAGTTCCACCTATGAGTGAAAATGTCAAAAACGACAGCTGAAATAGTAAAATAACGATCAAAAAATTGATTTTTGAGGTGAAAAATTACTAACAAACGGGGGCTAAAAGGTGAGTAAAAAGTTAGAGTACATTTTTAATTGTTATTTTTTCCTCATTCAAAAAAGTAAGGGGCATATACTTCTTTTTAGACCCCCTAAATATTTTTTAGATGAAATTTATTATCATAAACAAGATGTGATAATAAATAAAAGACTCATAAAATGAATGTCATTGAAAAAGGTTTGAAATATAAGTAAAATAACCAATAAAGATTGAATAATGCTATTTATTAATATGGATGAAATATCGGTAATGTAACGGGTTTTGTAAAATAATGGGATTAGACAATTCAATTTCTATGAGAGAAGGGATGGAACAGAGAGAGAAATGTGATTGAGAAGGGGTTGTCACATCATTGATTATCCACTATCATGATAATAAATAGCATTATTCATAAAATTAGAAATATTCAATGCAATTAAAAGGACATGACAATCTAACCACGAAATAGAAAATGTTGTAAATTTCTTGGTCTTTTTGGTTTGAAAGAAATTAATTTATTCAACTAATGATGTTCAATGCTAAAGAAAAATGTATATCATCCAAATAGTGCACACTCGCTCCATTAGTTACTAGTTACTTTTTAAGTTCTATTTGAAATTTACCCACAAATCAAAAATAAATAACTATTGTTAGATGAAATTCCCACAAAAATTAATATCTAACTGTTGGTTCAACTATTTTTATCTTTAATTTGATTGAAAACAAATAAATGAGGTTTTATTTTTATCCAAAAAATTATAAATTAAAAAAAAAAGTAAAAAGTGAATTTTTATATGATGATTTAAGTATTAAGATTTATGAGTTCGCCATAACTATGCTCTTAATCATAATTACCAATTTTTATATCAATTAGTTACACATACCTGGTCTAGGTTCTTCTAAACTAATTATTTACCTCTCTCGAGTTCAAATAAATCTTACCTAATTAAGTTTAACACACCATACCTCTACTTGAATCTAAATAAACATTAATCAAGGGCATTCAATCATGAAAGAATTTATTTAACCACAATCATAAAAGCGTATCTCTACCTTTCAAAATAATTATAGCTCACAAATCAATGAATTAGGGATTAATTAATCCATATCATTAAGAATAAAGTAAAACAATTAACAATACATATTTAAGATTAAAAACAATTTAATTAAAATTAAAGTTCAAATTAGTTTACAATAGTTCATCCTAACTAATTCCACACCATGAGAGAATAATAAAACGAGAAAGAATTACAGTACATCATTGAATTTTAAGAAAAATGGAAAAAATATATATATATATATGAAGATATTGCAACAAGAATCCGCCTTCTTCTTGTCAAAATCTTGAAAACCTGATTTCTTGATCCCCCCCCCCCCCCCCACCCCCCTTTTTTGGGAACTTTTTTTTTTTTTTTTAATATATTTTAACATTTGGGACTCTATTTTCTTGTAATTGATATGACTTTTGTGTCCCAAAAGGCCATTCTAGCTTGTATAATATGTGAATAATCTATTCTTGCAAGCCTCATTCAATTGTAGGATGAAAGTATGTATTTGTAGACCTAAGAATGAGGAAAACATCGTGGTCAAGTCACATTCTAAGAAGAATTACGAACAAATGGGAAAACAAGATACTTATAGCCTACGTCCTGAATTTTGTATGTTATTCAATTAGGTTCCCGGATTCATCTATTAGTCAACCCATGTCCTTCCTTAGTTGCAAGTATTCACCTTAAAATCTTTATAATTTGCTCATGGTCATTCCAAAATTCTAAAAATGTTGATCCTGTGCAAGTTACAAAAGTTTGTAATTGAATCTCCAAACTTTCCAAATCTCAAATTTACCTTTCGAAACTATGATTTTGCTTTGATTGCTCAATTTCTAATCTCAGTTGATTGATTGCAGCTCAAATGATTTTCAGTTACTCTGAATCAACTTTAATTAAGCTTTAAATAACCCTTCTCGCACCAAATGTGTGCAATTTAGAGGGTTTGAGAATCATTAATCTTCTATTGTATGGGGTGGGTGTGGGACGGGAAGGCCATTCCTTCCCCCATGCCGTCGGATATATTTTTTTCCACCTTGCCCATTCCTCATACTCGATTAATTTGGGATAGGGCTGGATGGGGCGAGGCAGGGTCCATCAACGAGCCGATTTACATGTCTCACAAAGATAATCATGTCCCCCTAATGTGTTGATCCATTTTTCGTCAAATATTGCTATTCATCCTAAGTTTTAAGAGTTCTTCTACAATTTGTACAAGTAGTTTGGGAGATGCATGAGCATGCATCTCTTGGTGGATTTGAATTTTTTAGCATTTTGTACTGATTATTTGTACAAACATCGTAACTCAATTTTAAATCATCATCAATTTAGGAGTTATCACAAATTTTACCATACTTGCAATCAAGTCACCAAGCTTCTATTTGATGCAACTCAATTACATGGTATTCAAATGAAATTTTTTAGAAGTTTCTGTAAATCATGAGGTATTCAAATAAACAGTGACTTTTGTAGAATTCTCTACTTATTGGACTTCTAGAGATATTTTAGTGAAAAATATAGGTAGCAAATCTAAAAAAATATCTCTCATATGCTTTGAGATTTGGAAGATTTTAGAACCCAAAAAAAGAACTTTTTTTCCTTTAAATTCTAGGATTTTTTCCACATCTCTTCAATTCATTTATTGTGATCAATTTATGATTATTCTGTATGTACATAATCACTTTTGAATTGAAATTATATGCAATTGTTTCAAAACATAGAATTCCACGTAATTGATTTATCCCTTTTTCTTTTCTTTTTTTTCTTTTTGGTTAAGAACAATTTGTGTTCATGAAATTAATATAATTCGTCAAAAAATTTTGGTTATATTAGTATAAATTGATGTAAATTTATTATTATTATTTTATTTGCAGCAAAATTGAATGACTGGACTGGATTAATAACTTCATCCAAGAAAAAATTGTTGACATCATGGTTTTCGAAAATGTTAATTAGATAGTAAGAAAGATTGTAATTTTCCAGTTATATGATGAATTTGTAATATGAAAAGTCTTTAAAAAAAATTTAATCAAAGTTAACAGAAAATTCATGGAAGACTTTTATTAATTCTTAACAAATCTATATAAATCACTTAAACATTCATAAAATCCACAAAAGTCGACTATGAAAAGTCTATGAAATTTTTAAAAAATCTTAATTGAATTACTTTAAATTTGTTTATGTGTATTTACTATTTGCTAGAGGGAACAATGCAATTGAGAGTTATTGGGTTGATTTCACAAATGGCTACTGAACTTACATGAAAATTACAAAATGATCACTGAAGTTTAAAACTTATAGAAATGGCCACTAAAGTTTAAAGTGCTTTCAGAAACGGTCACTGAAATTTACAAACTTACAGAAACGGTCACCCAGATTTTTCAAATTTTTGGGCGAGGTTTGCGACTATTTTTCGACAAATTCCCACCACCATGACTACCGAATTTGGATACCGTTGGAAAGCTCATAATGT